GCAAAAACGTCTTGCACAAGAGTGCATCCACGCTGCAAAAGCGCATCGAAAAAGCGATGCCCTTTTTTCAAGGGAACTTTGATTGCCGTTAACAGAATGGCCACCAGGGCATCTGTGCTTCTTTTGTTAGGCTGTTATTGTGCAAAACCCCTGTTTCCTGTCCCTACACACCTTTTTGCACAAGAGCTCGGAATGCCTACACTGCAAAGACCCCTCTGTTCTGTCAATTCACTGTAAATTTTCTTGCGCAAAAACATGCTTGAGGTGTGGACACTCCACAAGTTTTTGCAGTCCAGACATAGCCTAAGAGGGCTCAAGGAAGAGCTAGATACATTCACGGAGGTTAGGTCCCTCAATGGCTATTAGCCAGGATGGGCAGGGCTGGTGTCCCTGGCCTCTGCCGGGGCTGGGAATGGGTGACAGGGGAGGGATCACTTGATGATTTCCTGTTGTGTTCATTCCCTCTGGGCACCTGGTGTGCGTGTTACTTGGGAAAATGGGCACTCAAAAATAAAACGTGTGGGAAGGGTTAGGAGACTAAACGTGAAGTAAAAGGAAGTAATAGGTGTGTGTGAACAGGGACTTATGGCTACTTATTGCTGCTTCAGTGATTGTTAAATGTAGCATCATCTTGGGCATAAGCAGAAAATAAACATTTACAAGTAGGGTAGGCCGGGCAGCAACCAGGGCCGGGTTCAATATCTAGGGGTCCATCTCACACAGAACCAGCTCGAGTCCCCACCCAGTAACCTGGGAAATTAACACACCCCTAGGCACCTCTGTGAGGCAATGCTTCCCCACTTGCAAGCACAGAGTCTGAGTGTAGGAAAGAAACATTTAATGAAACAGAGGGAGAAGTCATATGGCATCTGCACTGGCATGTGCTTTTGCACAAGAGCATCCATGCCAGTGTAGACGCTCTCTTGTGCAAGAAAGCTCTGATGGCCATTTTAACCATAGGGCTTTCTTGCACAAAAAATTCATGTTGCCTGCCTACACTGGCCTCTTGCACAAGAACAGTTGCGCAAAAGGCTTATTCCTAAGCGGGAGCGTCAGAGTTCTGGAGCAAGAAGCCCTGATTTCATACATTAGAACGTCAATTTACTTGTGCAAGAACACGCGGCCAGTGTAGACGGGCAGCAAGTTTTTGAGCAAGAGCGGCTGCTTTTGCACAAGATCGCGCCAGTGTAGACACAGGCCCCTAGGCTGGCAAAAGATTTCAGCTTCCACTGGACTAGCAAAAAGACTCCCCATGGAGTCTGCTTTAGGTCTGTCCATAAAACAGAGGGAAAGGGGCAGGTTGGGCCAGTCTTACAGCTCACACCTGGCAGGTGTGAAGCAGGCTGACTTAAGCCCTCTAGCCCTTCCCCCAGCTCCGCCCACTCATCTCTGGAAGGGGGGAGGCTTGTTCCTTGGAGACCTCTTCAATGATGGTGTCTCTCCTGCAAGCACTGGTGTCATGTTTTACAGTTCCCACGTTTAGGGGTAGCATGATTTGTGACCCCCACTACATCCCCAAATTATTTACAATACATCACATTCCATTCTAACACTGATCCTCCATCATAGAATCATAGAATAATAGGACAGGAAGGGACCTCAAGAGGTCATCGAGTCCAGCCCCCTGCCCTCAAGGCAGGACCGTCTACACCATCCCTGACAGATGTCTATCCAACCTGTTCTTAAATATCTCCAGAGAGGGAGATTCCACCACCTCCCTTGGCAATTTATTCCAATATTTGACCACCCTGACAGTTAGGAATTTTTTCCTAATGTCCAATCTAAACCTCCCCTGCTGCACTTTAAGCCCATTACTCCTTGTCCTGTCCTCAGAAACCAAGAGGAACAAATTTTCGCCTTCCTCCTTGTGACACCCTTTTAGATATTTGAAAACCACTATCATGTCCCCCCTTAATCTTCTTTTTTCCAAACTAAACAAGCCCAGTTCATGAAGCCTGGCTTCATAGGCTTCTCTAGACCTTTAATCATTCTTGTCACTCTTCTCTGTACCCTTTCCAATTTCTCCACATCTTTCTTGAAATGTGGCGCCCAGAACTGGACACAGTACTCCAGCTGAGGCCTAACTAGTGCAGAGTAGAGCGGCAGAATGACTTCACGAGTTTTGCTTACAACACACCTGTTGATACAACCTAGAATCATATTTGCTTTTTTGGCAACAGCATCACACTGTTGACTCATATTCAACTTGTGGTCCACTATGACCCCTAGATCCCTTTCCGCCATGCTCCTTCCTAGACAGTCGCTTCCCATCTTGTATGTATGGAACTGATTGTTCCTTCCTAAGTGGAGCACTCTGCATTTCTCCTTATTAAACCTCATCCTGTTTACCTCTGACCATTTCTCTAACTTGCTAAGGTCATTTTGAATTATGTCCCTATCCTCCAAAGAAGTTGCAACCCCACCCAGGGAGCTGTATTTACATATGACCAGTTAACAGTTAATTATCTTGCAGAGCTAAACAATTGGGCTGTGTCTACACTGGAACGATCTTGTGCAAAAGCAGAGGCTCTGGCACAAAAACTTGCTGCCTGTCTCTACTGGCTGCGTGTTCTTGCACAAGTAAACTGACGTTCTAATGCATGAAATCAGGGCTTCTTGTGCCAGAACTCTGACGCTCCTGCTCAGGAATAAGCCCTTTTGCGCAACTGTTCTTGCGCAAGAGGCCGGTGTAGACAGGCAACATGAATTTCTTGCGAAAGAAAGCCCTATGGTTAAAATGGCAAAAGCACGTCTCTTGCAGAAAAGCACATGCTAGTGTAGACGCTGTCTTCTGGAACTCGTCTGCAAAAGAGTTTTTGCGTGAGAACGCGCCACTGTAGATGTAGCCTTGGAGTGGGCACACCCACACCCATGGCAGCTCTCTCCTTTTAGCTGGCTGATAGCAAGCAGCAGTTCAGCCCCTGCTTACGCAAGAAGGTGGACACTAGTTCATTTTTTCTCCTTTCGCCTTTGCCCCACCACCTATGGCATTTGCATACCTTTGGGAGAGGTTTGGTGACACCTGGTCCCACCAGAGGGAGGAAGTTCCTCTTGATGCTGTGCTGAGAATAGAACAACACAGCTAAGGAATGCCAGAATGGGACGGGGAGATGGGGAGAACCCGGTCAATTTCAAAAGTGGTTCTGTTTTTCACTGACTGGCCTTGTGTCCTTTTAGAAAGACAAGTCATATAAAGCTCATTACCTATTATTCCTGTGTGTGAAACAAGGAATCTCACTGAAATTATAGTTGTTGAATGATTCCTCTATGAACTACTGTACCACAAATACAGCTATCCTACATGCACAGCCTGTTCTGCAATCATATAATAGTACCTTCAAAAGACTCATTTGTTTTATAGGTAAGGGAAATGGAAAGTAAAAATTAAGGGAAGCAGCATGGCTTTTGATTGAAAACAGAGCTGGGGGTTTATTAATGGCCCCCTCCCAGACTTCCAGGGAGTCATCTGACTGACCTTTTTTATTCCTAAATTCAGTGCTTTTAATTAGGCACCTTCTTCTCAAACACCATTTGGCACACGGAGGAAAACATGCTCTCTTTGATTTAGAAATAAACTAGAGAAAAGGAGGTTTTCTTCTCTCCCTCTCCCCACTCTCATTTGCTTGGGTTCAGGGACTTGGCTGGAAGGGGATGCACACATGGTGAGGGGGAGCAGGGAAGACAGTGGAGGGGGGGGGGCCTGGTGAGGCCACAGGCAGAAGAGGCTGACTGGGAGTTGCTGCCTACCCAAACAGAAGTTTCACCAACTGCCCACACCTGGCCACTGTCCGAGGATACAGGGCTAGATGGACCTTGGTCTGGCCATTGTAATGTTCTCTCCCCTCCCCTTGGTCTGGCCATTGTAATGTTCTCTCCCCTCCCCTTGGTCTGGCCATTGTAATGTTCTTTCCCCTCTCCCCCGCCCTTGGTCTGGCCATTGTAATATTCTCTCCCCTCCCCTTGGTCTGGCCATTGTAATGTTCTCTCCCCTCCCCTTGGTCTGGCCATTGTAATGTTCTCTCCCCTCCCCTTGGTCTGGCCATTGTAATGTTCTCTCCCCTCCCCTTGGTCTGGCCATTGTAATGTTCTCTCCCCTCCCCTTACAAAGGGGAGGAGCAGCCACCTCCCTTTGCTCACTCTGCTCACATCCCCAGCCAGCCAAAAGCCACCTGCTGCTGTTCTTCTCCAGTCCCACCAGCCCCAGGTTCAGCTACACTGATTGCAAAGGCAGTTCACTCCCCCACCCTGGCTGTTCTTTGCTCTACGCACAGGCAAGCAGAGCTGTGTCTGGCAGAGCCAATAGCAGGGCTGGGAGCTGCTGCAGAAAACAATGTTCATCCGAAGCAGTGGCTTTTACTCACAAAGCTCCTGATCCGATATGTTTGTGTTAGTCACTAAAGTGCCACGGGGCCACTTGTTTTTAAAGTTACAGACTAACACGACCCCCCCCCCCCCCCCCCACGCTTTAGTGGTGGGTGGGGAAGGAAGCTCAGAAGGTGATTGCCGCAGATTTCATCAGGAGTTGCTCTCGTTCTCGCGGGTTACGTCAGGCTGGGAAGAACAAGCCCTGTGTGACACGAGTAGGCACACACAGGGCTGCTGACCCAGGTACATTCAGGTTAGCCCAGCTTTGGGTGTGTCAGCTGAGCTAATGAACGACACCAGGCATCTTTGACATGAGCTGTCCCCCCACCAGCATGGCTTTGGTTGCACTTTTCAAATCTAGGGCTTTTTCCAAGAACACCTTTTAAGGCAGTGGTCACCAACCAGGAGCTCAGGATCTGCTGGTAGATCTTGGAGCCTCTCACAGGGGATCCTGACTGGTTTGGCCAAGCAGCGGCCAAGCACAGCACTTCAGCTGCCCCTCCCCCTTGCCCACTGCTGCATCTCTTGCCCTTTGCATGGGAGCTGCCCTTCCTCCCCACCGTTGTGCAGAGCAGGGAAGGAGGAGGCGCTGACGTCAGGGTGCCCCTCTTCCATCCTGTATTCTGTCTCCACAGAGCGGAGAGCGGGCACAGCAGGACCTGGGATGGAAGGAATTTGCTGGCTGCTTTTGAGTGGTGCAGGGCCAGGGTGGGGTGAGCCTGCCTTAGCCCCACTGCACCAACACCCGAGAGCCACCTGAGGTAAGCAATGTCCAGCTGGAGCCAGAATCCCAGACCCCTGCCCAGTCATGAACCCCTCCTGCATCCACACCCACGCCCTTAGCCCCCTGGACCCAAACTGCCTCTCAAAGCCTGCACCCTGAATCCCTTCCTGCACCCCAACTCCCTGCCCCAGACTCAGCTCAGAGCCCCCCCCTCCAAATCCCTTAGCCCAAGTCCAGAGCCTGTGCCCCAACCCTCTGCCCCTGCCTGGTGAAAGGAAAGGAGGATGGGAGAGGGAGGGAGGACAGAGTGAGCAGGGGCAGGGCCTCGGAGAAGGGGCACGAAGGAGGTGGGGCCAGGGTATTTAGTTTGAGGTAGATACTGGATTGCACTTAAATTAAAAAATGGTCTTGTGCTTAAAAAGGTTGGCGACAACTGTTCTAAGGAGCTGCAAAAAAAATACAAACCAATGCTGCCTTAAGTAGCTAGCCATGTTATATCCATGAGTCTGATCTGCTGTATGTTCTTCTCTTCCAGCTGGTAAGTCATCTCAGCTCCTGTTTCCTCTTTAATAGTTCTGAGGGTGGCTAAGTCTCACAAATTCGGGTTCCTCCAGTGACTGCCAGCAGGGGCGGATGAGAGTGCCGCGGGGCCCCAGGCAGCGCCGCGGGGTCCCAGGCAGCGAAATTTCACGGGGCCCCTCCTTTGACACTGCACATGCGCGGGGCCTCAGGCAGCTGCCCCACTCGCCCTGCCCCAAATCCGCCGCTGACTGCCAGGGAGGGGATGTTTATAATCTGTAAATCCTTGAAGAAACACAGTAGGAACCTCTTTCCAGTCTGAAGGGTGGTTTGTTTTTCAGTAATTTATTTACTTTTAAACATTCCTGGAAGAAATTAACTATCTCATTCTCCTTTTCACAATTTGGACCATAATATTTTAAAAAATAACAATAATTTCAGGACTAAGCAAATTTTAAAGAAATTTTTGTTCATCTCTACTAAAGAGAATGTACAAAGCATCAAACTCATGTTTAAGGCTCCAAAACAGATACCTCAAGATTTGGGATTGGAAATACCTTGCTGTTGATTGTTCTAAATTTACAAATAAATCTAAAATATGGCTTTAATTGGTAGGTTATATATTTTTATATAAGAAGCAGGTATACTGTTCCTGTCAGTTAACTTCTAAGGTATCACCTGCAAAAAAAAAAAAAAGTTTTCAGATGTATACTCTGGAATAGAATAATGGTTAAAGCTCCTCCCCTATCAAAATCAGAAATGGTACCCCTGCTACTTCTGGACCAGAGGCCGTGACATGCACACGGATAGCAGAGTCTGAGAGATAGGGTGCCACATTGACACAATTTGCTACTAATGGCAAATTATGATGGCTAAGCAATCAAGGGCATACTAGTATGGCAGTTACTTCTACCAGAAGCAAATTGGAGGGCTGCTGCTTGTGTTACTACACAAGCAGACACTAGTGGTGGTGGGGCACCATCAGCATGTGGGCAAAAAAGGAAGCAGAGAGTCTTGGAAGTATGGCCAGCCATGCGGAGTGAGTCAACCCAGTGCCCTCCTCCTGCGCCCTTATCCTCGCCTCCCCGCCCCTTGACAACACCCCAGTGCCGTCCTCCTGTGCCTTTATCCCCAACTCCCCATCCCTATACGTCACCCCAGTGCCCCTCTCTTGTACCCTTATTCCCACTTCCTCACACAGCAGACTCTGAGAGAGCACCCAAAGACCAGACCACATAATGATCGAAGGCGTCTGGCATGGTTTATTGTTACATGGAGTACAGTGATAGATGTTAATAGACTCTATCGAACCACTACACATGCATACCAACTCAGTCAGTGATATGGGGTGATATGTGAATCCATCACTGCCCCCAGGCTGGAGAAAGACAACTCTTTGGGGTACACTTTTATGGACAGGTACAGGCAAGTTATACATCACTCTTAACATCTCAGGTTGCCACCTTCTGTTGTTGCTTAGTTATCACTCCTTACTTCACACAAGGGGGGTTCAATTACTATCTATCGTGCTGTCAGTTTAGAGACCCTGTCCTGAACCTGCGTAGGTATGCCTGCTATTTGTCAGGAGGAAGTTGGTACCAAGGTGTTCCTTAATGAGGTGTTCTGTTATGACCCCTCTGGAATGTGCTTACAGCCTGTGCCTAGTTCCTCTTAGGTCTGAGTGTTTCTGTAACACCAGCCTGGTTCTTGCCAACTTCTGTGAGCAGGGTCTGCCTCTTGCTCACAGCTTCTCTTTGCATTATATTAGCAAAGTCTTGACCATTGTGACTGGGCCTCACCCAGCCTGTGATACATGGGCCTATGTTTCAGGCCCTCATCCAGACACTGAACAAAATTTTTTTGAATAATATGTGCCTCAGTTAGTCCCATGCACTGCTGCAGGATGGGGACTAACTGGCTAAATGGCAGTTCTGCGGAAAAGGACCTAGGGATTACAGCAGATGAGAAACTAGATAGGAGTCAACAGTGTGCCCTTGTAGCCAACAAGGCTAGCAGCATATTGGGCTGTATTGGTAGGAGCAGTGCTTTTTTTGTAAGAAAAAAGGTATTGGTACTCTAGGGCAAACTTGTTGAGCCAAAAAAAACCCCCAACAACTCCGCGTTAGGGGCCGAAATGTGGTTGTGGCCCCTTTAAGAGCCACAGCGCTATGCTGGGAGCCAGGAAAAAAAAATGCTGCACATCCTGAGCAGGCTTCTGGCAGGAGCTGAGCTGCCCCATGAAAACAGGTGCCGGTATGCGTGGGAGAAAATCCCATTCCCTTTCTGTGTGCTGGGAATATAGGTGACGGTACGCTGTTCCGGGCAGTACCGTCACAAAAAAAGCACTGAGTAGGAGCATTGACGGCAGATCCAGGAAAGTGATTATTCCCCTCTACTTGGCACTGGTGAGGGCACAACTGGAGTATTAGGTCTAGTTTTGGACCCCACACTACAGGAAGGATGTGGACAAATTGGAGCATGTTTAGCAAAGGGAAATGAAAATTATTAGGGGGCGGGTCACACATTTTATGAAGAGAGGCTGAGGGAACTGGGCTTAAGTAGTCCACAGAAGAGACGAGAGAGGAGGGATTTGGTAGCCTTCAACTACCTGAAGCGGGGTTCCAAAGAGATTGGAGAGAGGTTGTTCTCAGTGGTGGCAGATGACAGAACTAGGATCAATGGTCTCAAGAGCAGTGAGAGACATCTAGGTTGGTTATTAGGAAATTTTATTTCCCTAGGAGAGAGATGAAACACTGGAATGAGTTAGCTGGGGAGGTGGTGGAATCTCCATCCTTGGAGGTTTTTAAGTCTCAGCTTGACAAAGTCCTGGCTGGGATGATTTAGTTAGGGTTGGTCCTGCTTTGAGCAGAGGGTTGGACTAGATGCCTCTTGAAGTCTCTTCCATCCCTAATATTTGATGATCCTATGATTCCCAAAATGTATTGGACACTTTGTGTTTGGTAGAATTTCTTTTCTAACAGATGTCTGGGTGAACAATGTCTCCCCCATTACTAACTGTGTGTTGATTTTCTTCTGTTGTTGTTTGCATGACAGTCTAGACCAGTGGTTCTCAAACCTTTTGGCCATCCAACTCAACACAAGTCTTTGGCAGACCACCAGTCAGCCACCTATGATGACAAAATGGGTGCAGGAAGTAAGGTGCAGGTGCTAAGACTGACCTCAACCTGGACACTTCCAGGGATGCTCCCCCGACCTTGCCCCAGGGTCTGCAGTGGATGTTGGTCCCACTGGGTGTAGGAGCAGGCTGAGGGTGGTGGGTCTAGGTGGGAGTGAGGGTGCAGGAGCGTGTGCAAGGAGGATGGAAGTGCAGGATCTAGGCATGAGGGGAATGAGGGGGTGCTTACTTGGCTTTGCACCTCCTGCTGCTCCCAAGTACTGCCTCCGGTGCTCCCATTGGACACAACTCTGGCCAATGGGAACAGCAGGAAAAGACTCCAGACAATGCTTCCTTATGCTGCCATTCCCCCTGCCAGGGGAGGGGGAGTGGCAGTGGCAGTGCATGGAGTCGCTTCCTCTCCCCACAAGCTGGATCTGGCTCACAAGGCTTTGGGACTCCCTACTTGCCTGCAGCGGGAAGCTGGTGCTGGCACTCATACCTCATGGGGGAGGGGAGCTGCAGAGCTGGAGCTCCAGTGTGGGCTCCCAGATGCTGGGGGAGAGGAGCTGAGTCTCAAGCTGCAGCCCACCTGTGAGGCAGCTGCAGACAGCACTTTGAGAACCACTGAGTTCAGGGAAAGAACTGGGTGGAACGAGATTGTGAAATTATTCCTGGTTCTGACATGTCCCCATTTGTCCTTTGTGCTCTTCCAGGCTGCGGCGTAACATTCGGGTTTTATTCCAGGTCATTCCGTCCTTCCAGGGACAGGAAATGGCAGCTGTGGAGCCAGCTGAGGTAGGTATTATTAGGGAGTTGCTGGTGGATTCCTGTTGGAAGGAGAAGGGCAGTAAAATCTGGAGGGGGCACTTCTGGGAAGTAGCCCTGGAGTTGGGTGAGGGCAGGAAGTCAACAGGGTGGAGACAGGGAGGGAGCAGGGTGTGATAAACCTGCTGGAATTTGTTTACTGTGGAATTTAGATCCTAAAATCAGACCCCTGGGTTTGTAGAAGGGAACTGCCTAATCAGTGGAACAGCAAATGACCACCTGGACATGTCTGGGAAAGCTCGCCAGAGTTGCAGGTTCAGGCTCTGATGTTCAAGTTGCACCTCTGTAGACCAGCAACATCCCTGGTCCTATTTGATCTGAGTTAGCCGGATGTCCACTTATCATGGTTGTGGCCAAGTTTTGTGCGGTCCCAACAAGTTTGTTTACAGCCACCGGCCCAGGGTCTTGATGTTCTGTGCTGTTATTTAGCTCTAATTTACCCCTAAATGTCTTCTCAGAGCCCAGTAAGATGGGTAAGTGTTGGTAATGCTGCTAGACAATATTGACCTCCCCTGATTCAGCAAATTCTCTAGTTCGGCTCCAGTCAGGTCCCGAGGGTGCCAGATTAGAGAGGTTCAACCTGTATTAGCCAGAGGCTGCTGTGAGGTATAAAGGGGCACCCACCAGAGAGGTCCAGGGAGGGGCCTCCCATCAGGTCTCTGGCAGAGGAGAGGGTGTTGCAATTGGCACCAGGGAGCTGTCCCTGGACCCTGGACCCTGAACCCTGCTGGGAGCTCCATCTCCTGAGTCAGCTTCTGGCTAGTCAGCGAATTATTAATGTGAAGACTCCTGCCCTCTCTCTGCTGGGAGGGGTGAAGGGCTCTCCCCACCCTCCTTTTCTCTTTGCTTCCAGGCTCTTCTGATGGGGTGTGGTTGGGACTATGCTGTCTGCCTGCCTCCCAGAGCTTCCATGTGATTGGCCCTTCTCCCCTGTGACTGTTGGGGCTGTGAGTGGGGCAGCAGGCACTGGGGGGGAGGGCTCTTGTTCTTCCAGGGGCTGGTGATCTTCGAGGAGGTGGCCGTGTATTTCACCAGGGAAGAGTGGGCTCTGCTGGACCCCGCTCAGAGAGCCCTGTACAGAGCCATCATGCAGGAGAACTACGAGAACGTGACCTCTCTGGGTAAGGGGCCTGCCCCGCGGTTCTTAGAAGGGGAAATGCAGAGTTAAGATTCACAGTCCCCCTCAAACTTCTGTAGCATCACCACTCCTGTACCGTTACGCAGAGGGGTCTTTCTGGGCCTTCATTTACCTCTCACTGAGCCCTGGAGCCCACTAGCATGGGTGTCATTGGAAAAAGAAGAGAGTTAAGTCCAAAGCAGACAAAGGATTCTCACAAAATTGGATAATTCAGAAATGTCATGATAGCTGAAATTCAGTCTTATTACATGCAGAGCAATGTACATTAGAAAACATACCCGTAATGACAGATACCAAGGGAAGACGTCTAAATCAGTGGTTACCACTCGAGCCTCTGACTCAGTGGGTCTTTGTTCACGATAACTTACACCCAAATAAATGTGTTAGTCTTTAAGGGCATGTCATGTGGGCTACAAAAGGGTTAGGCAAGTTCTTGGAGGACAGGCCCATCAATGGCAATTAGCCAAGATGGGCAGTGATGCAGCCCAATGCCCTCTGACTGCCACATGCTCTGAGTGGAATAGGGAATGGGTCACTCAGTACTTAGCCCCTTTTGTTTATTTCATCTGTCATTGGCTACTTCTGGAAGACAGGACTCTGGGACAGACGGACATTGGTCTTACCCAGTCTGGCCACTTTTTGTTCTTACTGGGTTGGCTTTTGCTGATCCAAAGTTCTGAGCTTTACAGTTATTGCCGTATTCTATCCTGCATCTCCAAAGTAGCATGTGAGTCTTCCACCAGCTGACAGTTCCCATGTGACTGCTGTTACTCAGAGAGATCATTAGAACTCCAGTTATGCAAGAACATGTGACAAGTGCAAGGTGATTTTTTTTCAAAAGCTTGTTTTAGGAGGGCTGGAGCTCAGAAAACCATTGGACCAATTAACCCTACCCTGGACAATGTGAATAAGCAGGTCTATACTAAAGCTGGAAGGTTGGCTTAAGGAACACAACTCCAGCTACATAAATAACATAGCTGGAGTGAACATACCTTAAGCTGAGTTTTGGGTCTGTCCCCACAGTGGAAGGCCAATGGGAGAAATGCTCCCATTGACTTCCCTTACTCCTTGCGACTGTGAGGAGTACCGTGGTCGACGGGGACACCACCAGCATTCAGTTTAGTGGGTCTTTACTAGACCTGCTAAATTGAACACCAGAAGATCAACCGCTCCAGTGTTGAGCTCTGTGGCAGAGAAGACAAGCCCTCAGATATGTCCCATCCTTTATTAGTTGTCAAAAATAATTGCCAGTGGCTCAGATACTCTTCAGCCAGTCCATTATGTATTCTTGGATGGATTTCATAGGGCCTGGTGACTTGAAAGTCATCTTTAAAGATTGTTGCTAATTACTCAGAGGTCTCTCCATCAGGGCTCTTAATGCGTTTACTTTGTAGCAAGGAAGATTTTATGTTTGAGATTAGAAAAAAAGCTTTCCAACTGTAACAGAGAGAGGCCTCATGTGTTTCCCCCTCCTGAAGTGCCTATGGGCCTCTCAGGAAAAAGCAGTTCCAGGATGACTTCTCTGGTTGCAGTCTTTTCTTTCTGTGACATGGATTTTAGGAGCCCTTTTGCCCATGTGTGCCTGGCTCTGTGTGTTCCCTGTATACAGGGGCACAGTTAAATTTATCAGAAGAAAATGTCTTGTGCCTTTGAGCACCTGGGGAGCTGGCCTCAGGATTTTACTTCTTTAAAATGAGATGGAGTTAAAATAACACAACTTTTTTGTGTGACCAATGTCTCCAGCTCATCTGATGAAATGGGGTTTACCCACGAAAGCTCATATTATACATGTATTTTTGTTAGTCCCTAACGTGCCACAGGATGACACATTGCTTTTAATGTCCCATGGGTTTACCTGATTTCACTTGTTGCTGTTGTCCTGGGCAGGGTTTCCAGTTTCCAAATCCGCTGTCACCTCCCAGCTGGAAGGAGAGAAAGAGCTACTGTTTGCAGATCTCCAGAGCTCAGAGGAAAGAGATACCCTGAGTGGCAGCTGCACAGGTGAGGGACCATTAAATTGTCAGTGGCTGAAGGTAACAGCTGGGATTCCTACTAAAGCCCTTTTGAGTTCTCTGAGTTTAGGATTGTTCCCAGCTAGTGTCACATCCTCAGGATAGATATTGCTGTTGGCTTCCTACCCATCCTATTTCCTGGCAGTAGCTCCTTCCCCAAACTTCCTTCTTTCTGTATGTTTGCATGGGGACTGGATGCTGAATTAATCCCCTCCTCTCTTCTCCCAAAGGAGGAGTTTGGGGAAATTTAGTCCCTGATATTGTTTCCATCTCCAGCTGTTCTGGCTGCTTCTTCCCCTTTTCCATTCCTGTTTCTGAGGTTTTTGTTTCTGTGCAGGTACGGGGATGGTGAGTGAGACGGTGAAGCAGAATCCCCAGCAGGAAGATGATGTGGAACCACATGGGGCATTACTTCAAAGATATAAAAGGCCTGTGCCCAGAAGTTGTGAGAAGAGCACAGTCTGTAAGAGTCAGCACAAGCCAGCAAAGCTACAGGGAAACCAGCCAGTGCAGAAAACTGGTAAATCAGGTAATTATAGGAGAACTCGCAAAGACCTCAAAGTGACAGCCCAGCAGAGAATCCTCAAAGGAGAGAAAACTAACACATGCTTTGAGTGTGGGAAAAAGTTTGGTACACGTGCACATCTTATTAGACATGAGAGAATCCACACAGGGGAGAAGCTTTGATTGTGGGAAAGCCTTCACTGAGTGCTCAACCCTTATTATGCATCAGAGGACCCACACTGGGGAGAAGCCCTATAAATGCTTTGAGTGCAGGAAAGCCTTCTCCCAGAGCTCAACCCTTATAAACACCTGAGGATCTACACAGGGGAGAAACCCTATGAATGTGGTGAGTGTGGGAGAACGTTTGCTCACGGCTCACACCTTATTACATATAAGAGGATCCACACAAGGGAGAGACCCTATGAATGCTGTGAGTGTGGGAGAACCTTCTGTCAGAGAGCAGCCTTTACTACCCATAAAAGGGTCCACATAGGGGAGAAACCCTATAAATGCTTTGAGTGTGGGAAAGCCTTCACCAAGCGCTCGTCTCACATTAAACATCAGAGGATCCACACGAGAAACCCTATGAATGCTGAAAATGTGGAAAATGCAGCACTTATTTATCATCAGAGAAGCGACAGGAGAGATAAAGATCATAAATATCTTGTCTAGGGCCGAGAAAATAATAGTTTTTCTTTTGTTAATTCCAATACTGTGAGCTTTAATGAAGCATTTTTTTCACAATAGTCTTTTAGCTCCCTTGGCTGAGTTGTCTGCTTTTCCCTTTTGCAGCTCACACTTCCTTGGGTGAATCCCACAAGTCTTTTGGCCAGCTGTTTTTACCTATGTCATGGAAGTTGAGGGTCCTTCCAACAGAAATATCCATTGAACCAGGAGTGACCTCAACTAGGTAAATGGAGGATAAATCTGTCTAGGCCTTGATTTTACGTGGAGTTAGCTAGCCCAAGTTAAATATTCAGATGTAAAAACAAAGCTATTTTTTCATTTAAAAATAGCCCATGTATAGTAGACAGATAAATTTATTAATTTTCCTCAAGGCCTGTCAAGACCTTCATTATTTTTACTACTCTAAGCAAATTTGAGGGAACCCATTTACACTTTTCCTCCCAGTGCAAAGGGACTTTTAGTCACGAGGTTCCCCCACTACGGATAGATTGTCTCATTCCCAGTTGTTTTCATATGGCACTGGAGTGTGCTGAAAAGCTGTTCATTTTTGTATCATTTTCCTTATTTTAAATATGTGTAAAAAATATCAGAGAGAAGGAGCAGAATTAGGGATGGAGGAAAATAGGTTTGGCTTTTTTCAGCCTCTGTAACACCTGAAGGAGTCCTGAGTTGGCAGGATTCATAAGAAATATAAGAATAGCCAGACTGGGTCAGACCAAAGGCCTGTCTACCCAGTATCCTGTCTTCCGATAGTGGCCAATGCCAGTTCTTCCAAAGGGAGTGAACAGAACATGGAATCATCAAGTGATCCATGCCCTGTCACCCACTCCCAGCTTCTGACAAGCAGAGGCTAGGGGACACCATCTCTGCCCATCCTGGCTAATAGCCATTGATGGACCTATCCTCCATGAATTTATGTAGCTCTTTTTTGAACCCAGTATTTTAACAGGGTTAAAAAAAAGAACTCCCTTCCAAATTGCCCCAGCAATGATTTCTCTGTTTGAGCCATGTAGAATTTGCCGTCTTCACTTTCTGTGCATCCACCTCGCACTGAGTGCTAGGATTCAGTGTTTTCAACCTGCTGCTTGGAAATCACTTTATTTCTTTTATTGTATAACATAGTAAATTAGGGCCTTAGACGAAAGTGTTAGAAATCTGAAAAGGGAATTTGAACATCTCTCAGATGCTGTGAAATCCTTTGGAATCCAACTCTCAGTTTCCAAATGTTGGGAAAGTCTCTTGTAGGATTTTCCCTACTGAGTTGGGATTGTTTGCAGATGGAGGTCTCCCTCCGAGCAATAGGGTGAGGGGCTGTTCTCTCTGCTTGGGTGGGTGGAGCCAGACCAAACTTACTCTGCCCCTGGGAGTGGAGGGGTAGAGCAGGATGTATTAGAGGTGGGTCCCCTAGCTCAGTTGATGCAGCACCAGGGAAGGAGCCAGACACAGGTTGCTCCCTGTGGACTCTGCTGCTGAGTCAGGGAAGGAGGCAGATGTGCTCTTCTTACTGCTGTCTACTGACCCTGCTGTCACACCAGATGCTGCCCTGGATCTGGAGACGCCCAAAGCTGAGGAGGAGCTGGAGCTAATGGGTCCCTCAGTGGCCTAGAGAAACTGAGGGACCCTGATCTGGAGCTTGGGTAGAAAGTGGCCCAAGGGGTTTGGATTGATGATCAGATGGTCAGTGTGTGATGGGAGGTTCCCCATTGACCTAATGGCAGGACACCAGTGTCCCTTGTAAGCTGGGCACTTGAGCGGCCTGTCAGGAGAGATTCCAGTGCCCCTGGCTGATTAGCAAAGCACCGACAGCGAGGTGTGTGCTTCTACTGGGGGTGCACATCCTCAATGCCTTCTGCACATAACAGAAATAACATAACATAAATTCTGCACATAACAGAATTTATTCTGGGCATGGATGAAAAACATCTGCACATGGATGGAACAGTGCAGGACACCCCCCCACACACACTTTTAGAACCCTGGGCTGGAACTCAGCAGAGGCAGCTGGATTGTCTAGTGCTATGAAATTGGATGTATCTTATATCTCTCTATCATGTGGGGTTTTCTTTTTTGAGGGGCATTTGATCACATCACCAGATATTACTTTGCCATATCGTAGCTCAGATCTATTGGGGACTTTTCAAAAATCACTAAACTCTAAAATAGTGATTTTTTTTTAAAGTTTTGTTATTGCTTTTTCTCACCCCCTCCATACCATAATGACCAGAAACTTCCAAGTTCAGGAGAGAATGCTGAAAGCTATTGGACAGTCCACCAACTTCTCCTTACTCTCCGGTCTGAACCATTTGCACAATTTGGGGTGTGCTGTTGTTCACTAGCTGACATAACTGGATACAATCATAGTTTTGTTCAGTTGTTTAGGTGAATATTGTCTCATGATACAGGGACATAATGCCACAATAAGGAACAAGGAGCAGGATAAAAGGTCCATGTTTTTTTTCTCTGAGGCTGTACCTCTGTGTTCATACCCTTCTGCAAAAATTGTTGTATAAGGCATTTAAAAATTAATAATCTGTGGATCAATTTATACAATGGCAAAAGGCACATAACCATGTTATATGTAAAGTAATAAACACAAGCTGAAATCATGATTAATATTATGTTAGCCAGATATATCTGGGGAGTCCAAAAATGGTCTCTCAGAGAGAAAAGGCAATTGACACTCAGCGAGGTGCAAACAAGACTCCTTAGCCATTGTCTGCTCAGTGGCTATCTTTTGGCAGGGGGGGTTGCTACTAAGAAGAGAACTGGCAGGCATTGTGCACAGCCCCAGAGTCATGGTTTGCCACCTTTGCCTCCTTGTTCGCCTGCCTCAGGGTGTGGCCACACTACTGAGTTTTGTTGACACCCAAAAGTAGACACAACCAAACTCTTCAGAGGGGGTTCACACTTGCTCCCTCTGACCACAGATCATGTCCACATTGGAAGCACCATCATCAAAAGTGTGAGCAGTACACTGAGGGTCTGTATCCTGCAGGGCAGAGTTGTGGGAAGGCATAGCCGATCCCTGCACATCTTGGGATTCCCACCGAGTTCTCCCAAAGCTGCCTCAGCTGCTGGGAATGGAGCTCTAAGCTCTCCATGCTGAGGAATGTCAAAGCAGCACAGCAGCTAACCCTGTCTCCTACCCACTGCTGTGCTCCTAGCAGGGCAGAACAGGAGCATTCCAATGATTTGCTCTTTGTTTGTTCCCCAAGCCTGTCAGACACTTCCTGGAGCTTTGAGAAGGGAGGGGCACATGCGAGCAGGCAGCAGAGATCAAAACACTGAGTAGAGCGGTATGGGCAGGCATTGTGGGATGTTGGTAGAAGCCAATTCTGTCAATAAAACAAACAGCAGCAGCCACACTGGCTCTTGTTGACAATAAAGGGAGGGAAAAGACAAGTCTCTGGTAGGGCTGAGAGTTTTTTGTTGCCTAAACTGAATGTTTTTCCTGACAAAAGTCACATTGCAGTGTAAACACTCTCCGGCTGTGTCTACACTGGCATCCCTTCCGGAAAAGGGATGCTAATGTAGCACTTTGGAATAGGCAAATCCGCAGGGGATTTAAATATCCCCTGTGGCATTTGCATTAACATGGCTGCCGCTTTTTTCCGGCTTGGAGATAAGCCGGAGAAAAGCGCCAGTCTAGATGTGATTCTCCAGAAAATAAAGCCTTTTCCAGAGGATCTCTTATTCCTACTTGCCTATTCCAAAGTCTACATTAGCATCCCTTTTCCGGAAAGGGGTGCCAATGTAGACACAGCCTCCCTGTTTTATCAACAAAAAGCAGATTTTGGTGACAGAACTGGGTAGCACAGGCATGCCCTGCCAGCCACTTTTCCTTTGCTTTACACTGTGTCCTGCTCATACCCGCTTTCCATACAAGCCATGAGAAATCTGCTTGTAGATATGGAAATTCCTATTGCTGGAGTGCAGGTGGGCCTGAGCAGCCTTCTCTTAAGAGCAGATCTAAGAGTTCTACATTGGACCCAGCAAGAGATAGTTTGCCCCATGGAACTGCTGTGGCTAGCTGGGAAGCTGTTTCAAAAATGCCCCATCCTTTAAAGCAAAATGCAGGACAATGTAGCACTTTAAAGACTAACAAGATGGTTTATTAGATGATGAGCTTTCGTGGGCCAGACCCACTTCCTCAGATCAAATAGTGGAAGAAAGTAGTCACAACCATATATACCAAAGGATACAATTAAAAAAAAGAACAAATATGAAAAGGACAAATCACATTGCAGAACAGAAGGAGGAGGCGGGGGGGTGGGAAGGGGGAGGAAGGAAGGTAAGTGTCTGTGAATTGATGATATTAGAGGTAGGGAGAGTGGGATGTTTGTGAGTTAATGGTATTACAGGTGATAATTGGGGAAACTGTCTTGATAATGGGTGAGAAAGTTCAAAGACTTGTTAAGTCCCTGGTGGTAAGTGTCGAATTTTAACATGAATGACAGTTCAGAGGATTCCCTTTCAAGTGCAGATGTAAAAGGTCTTTGTAGCAGAATGCAGGTGGCTAAGTCATTTAGAGAGTGTCCTTTCTGGTTAAAGTGGCAAGAAACTGTTTTCTCTTTGTGATCTTGTCTGATATCTGTTTTGTGGGCATTAATCCTTTGGCGAAGTGTCTGAGATGTTTGTCCAATGTACATAGCAGACGGACACTTTCGGCACATGATAGCGTAGATTATATTTCTGGATGCGCAGGAATATGTGTTCTTGATCTTATAACTCACTTGGTTAGGTCCAATAATGGTATCAGCAGAATGAATATGTGGACAAAGCTGGCAACGGGGTTTGTTGCAAGGGAAGGTACCAGGGTTGGTATTAGTGTGGTATGTCCTGTGGTGGTTGGTAAGAATCATCTTGAGGTTAGGTGGTTGTCTATAGGAGACTATGGGTCTGTCTCCCAGAGCCTCTTTGAGTATGGTATCCTGTTCCAATATAGGCTGTAGTTTATTGATAATGTGTTGGACAGGTTTAAGTTGGGGGTTGTAGGTGATGACAAGTGGTGTTCTATTGTTGGTTTTCTTGGGTCTGTCTTGAAGTAGATGGTTTCTAGGTATTCGTCTGGCTCTTTCAATTTGCTTTTTTGTTTCTCTGGGTGGGTAGTTGAGATTTATAAATGCTTGGTAGAGATCCTGAAGCTTCTGGTCTCTGTCAGTGGGGTTAGAGCAGATGCGGTTGTATCGAAGGGCTTGGCTATAGACGATGGATCGTGTGGTGTGTTCTGGATGGGAGCTGGATGCATGTAGGTAACTGTATGAGTCAGTGGGTTTTCTGTAGAGAGTGGTGTCTAATTTTCCATTGTTGATTTGTACGGTGGTGTCCAGGAAGTGGATCTCTCGTGTAGAATGGTCCAGGCTGAGGTTGATGGTGGGGTGTAGGTTGTTGAAATCTCTGTGGAATATCTCCAGTGTTTCTTGGCCATGTGTCCAGATCATAAAGATGTCATCGATGTACCGTAGGTAGAGGAGGGGTGAAAGGGGACGGGAGTTGAGGAAACGTTGTTCTAGGTCAGCCATAAAGATGTTAGCATACTGTGGGGCCATGCGTGTACCCATGGCTGTGCCGCTGATCTGGAGGTATAAGTTGTTCTCAAACCGGAAATAATTGTGGGTGAGAACAAAGTTACATAGGTCTGCTATCAGGTTGGCAGTAGTGTCCTCTGGGATAGTGTTTCTAATTGCTTGTAATCCGTCTTCATGTGGGATGTTGGTATATAGAGCTTCTACATCCATGGTGGCAAGGATGGTATTATTGGGGAGGTTATCGATGTTTTGTAGTTTCCTTAGGAAGTCAGTAGTGTCTCGGAGATAGCTGGGGGTATTGGTTACGAAGGGTTTGAGAAGAGTGTCTACATAGCTGGATAGACCAGTAGTGAGCGTGCCAATACCAGAGATGATGGGACGTCCGGGGTGCCCAGGTTTATGGATCTTGGGAAGTAGATAGAACAATCCAGAGAGAGGAGCAGAGGGTCATTTATCACTCAGCAGGGCAGCAGAGCTGAAATGCTGACCAGAGCCGTCTGGATGGGCATTAAGGAACACATCTTGGAGGCCATTTACAGTGACAAAACCAAGCACGGGGTCTACGCTGATACTTTGCCACAAAAAATCTGTTACGTGTCATCAAGGTGGTTTTATTTTGCTGCCAAAACAAGGCAGTTTTGCAGCCAAAAGTGGCACTGCAGTCTACTTTTCCACTGTTTTGCCTTTTCCTAATGAAACTCTCCACTATTTGCATGGGCTTAGTAATCAATTTCTTTCTTTTGTTTGTAATCATTTATTACTTTTATGCCTCCTTCCCTTTACTCATTAAATCTGTCTCCCTGTAGTTAATCAACTTGGTTTTTTCTTGTCTCTGAGCCATTGCTTGTCATTGCTCTACCCAGGCAACCAAGCTTTATGGGCCCTGGCACAGGCATGGGCTAGAGTAGCACAGGTGCTTATGAACAGGAAATGGAGGCAGCAAATCCCAGTTAATCCTAGCCATGAAGGCTGGGGAAGAAAGAGAAGCAGTTAGAGTGATTCCCACTGCACTGAGAACAAAAATAACTTCTTCAGTCCATGAAGAGGCTGATTTGGGAATAAAGAAACCTTGGTTAGGTTGCAAGCTGCTGGCTAGTGGCCACATATGAGCCTTGATGTGAAATAATTTGCAAAGAACTTCCTGCCCTGTGCAGCCAATAATGCAGATGTTGGAGTAATCACTGGGCTTCCGCAATAGCAGAGAATAGAAGGGGCCTTGGCCTCAGATACAACCCAAATCCAGCGTCCCTTTTCCAAGCACAGCCTGTGCACAAATTGGGCAGGTAATTATCATGGGGGAGGGGGCATTTCAAAAGAGAACTGACTCATCCTGGTGCAATGCGGTCCTGGGGCCATTACTGAAGGGATTTGTGAAGCATTTGGGATTAAGCAGAGATTGCGCAGAGCAGGACACCTTCCTCATGCTGGCCAGGTTGAACAGTCGAAGCATACCCCACAGCCCTTTGGGGCAAAGCTGTGAGTCTGCAGTGGAGGAATGGGGCCAGAGACTGCCATGGATTTTGATGACCATAAGTGGCTTTGTGGCCTCTCAGGGAGTTTCCATATTCAAGGCAGTGACTGGAAGAGTGGTCTGCCATCCAGAACAATGGGACAGATGGGAGAGCGCCCCAGAACCTGCAACCCTAGGGCCCTCCAGACAGCGAGTGCAGGAGCTGTTATACTGTATTGCTAGTACCCATGGGTCGGCTGCTCTGCCCAAGGAGCCAGGGTTTGAAAAGGGGATAAAGGGATGGGGCCAAGCTTCAATCCCCAAAGAGTAGTTAGGGGACATGGTTAAGCACTGGCTGGATAAAGAAGGAGCCCATGCACTTAGTCCAGCCTGGGCAGGACCTGTGAGACGCTGCAATAAAGCAAGTCCCAGCTAGAAGGCCAGTTGGAGATGGAGACCACCCTGAAATGCTTCCACTCCGTATAGCTGAAATGGTAAAAAAGGGTCCCCAGCAGCACAAGCCACACAGGAAGGCTCCTTGCACCACTCAGCAGTTGCTCCTGAACAGCTGTTACCAGGCACAGCAAGATGCACCATTGGGGAATTTGAAGATCAGATTAGACACACACCTGTCAGCGATGGTCTAGAGATGGAGCTTGGTCCTGCCACAAGGGCAGGGGACTGGACTAGACGACTTCTCGAGGGCCCTTCCAGTCCACGATTCTATGTTTCTATTAAACAGAGGTCTCAAATGCCAGCCCCTGGGAGAGTAAGAGGAGTGGGGTTGGTGTCTGAGCTAGGAGGCGTAGCTGCTGCTTGAGGACCTTCTGCTTTAATGTGTTTCCTCCACTGGTCACAGACAGTGCTAGAGAGACTGTATGGACTCTCTTGTTCAGTGTTCAATGGTCCTGATATCATGTGTGATGGGGCAGCATTTCCTCCCAGCCTGTTTCAGGTTCCCCCCATGAATAGCTGACAATAACTAAGAGCTGGGTGCAGCCTCAAGAAACTGACCAGCTGAGGTCACACCAGAGAGGCAGAAGGCAGCAGAAGATGACCACAAATGGCCACAGCTGGAGGGCAAAGTACACAAATGCATTCTTCCCCAGGTAGTGAGTGGAACAGCAGCTGGAGGACAAAACGAGCAAGTGCATTCTTCCCCAGGAGGGAGGTGAACTCACATGGCTCCACCTCTGAACCAGGGTTCTCACTGACCAAGGACTGTCCCCGAGTGGGGTGAGAGGACATAAAGAAGGAGCTTTGGATTGCAGAACTCAAGAATCAGACAGAAGACAATGTCTCACACGCTCTGGGTAAGTGTCCTGCTCACTGTTTGATGATTATGAATCCTTCTTGTGGTATCTTCCCTAATTAATGTCAGGTGATGTCTCTCCTTTTATTAAACATTTCTCTTCCACAGATACTGTGCCTGCAAGAGGGGCAGTATTGCCACTCAGCGGTGCCTGGGGTGGTGTGTGATTTTTTTCCAGGTTACAGGCTGGGGCTTGAGTGGATTACGTGGTCTATTGTTGAAAAGAAATCCCTAGCTATTGTACCCAGCCCTGAGTGCTGTTGGCTCCACCTAGCACAAGGGTTACACATGCAAATTAAGAAAGTAGGGTAAATATTTTGTTACTAACTGTTTGTGGAACAGAGTACTTAGCAGGAGAGAGAAGACTGTGAGCACCTATTTTAGCTACAGCTAATATACACATTAGTAAGGCTATTGGTTAATCTCAGCTAATCCAAGATAACTTGATTACAAAAGAATTGCAATTAATTGCTGTGTTAATCACCTGTTAAGCAATACTAGAATATCATTTTAATTTCTTATAAATATTATGGATATTTTTTCAATTTCACTTAAACATAAAGGCTGTGTCCAGACTCAGGGTTTTTTTCGAAAAAAGTACCCTTTTTTCGAAAAAACTTCACCTGCGTCTAGACTGCAGCCGCGTTCTTTCGAAATTAAATCGAAAGAATGCGGCTTTTCTTTCGACGGTGGTAAACCTAATTCCACGAGGAAGAACGCCTTCTTTCGAAAGTGCTCTTTCGAAAGAAGGCGTTCTTGAAAGCAAACAGGCTTTTTAGAAAGAGAGCATCCAGACTCACTGGGTGCTTTCTTTCGAAAAAGCGGCTTGCTTTTTCGAAATTCCGCGTGCAGTCTAGACGCTCTCTTTCGAAAGAGGCTCTAGACATAGCCAAAGTGAGCTCCGGACACTAGAACTCTCTATTACTATTTTGATCACAACTATTTGTACTGTAAGAAGGTAAACAAAAGATTTCAGATCCCTGGATGCAAGTACTGCAGTGTAATGTGCTGAGAGAGCACATCATGCAGTTATAATGTTTTTACATAACCACGCTTGAGAACAAAACAACGTAAAACTTCAGCACCTACAAGTCCACTCTTGTTCAGTCAGGCACTAAGACACACAAGTTTGTTCACATTCGCAGCAGAGATTGCTTGCTGTTGCTTGTTTGCACTGACACCTCACAGTGGGGGGGGGAGGGTGGTTTGGTTCTCTGGGCTATTTACAGGTTAGTGCTAAACATTCATCAGCCACTTTAGGCTTTGTCTTGTAGATTTCACCATCTATTCTTTATCACAACTCTAGTGTGACACATTGATTAAAGGTTGTCAGCCCAACTGCTCCCTTGGCCCATACAAAGCTGCCCCTCTTATGGCCTCTCTTTTTATACTTTGATACAAACCCCTTTTGTCTTGCAGGCCAGATGCTGTTAGCTGCCACCCTTGTCCTTGTACCTGTGCATTCCAACAAAACAGCCACTGTCCTGCTGTCCCATCCATAAGTTACAAGGAGCTGGTGTGTTCCTGTGCCAGTGCTTATGAATGGGTTTACATAGTTGGAGAGATCAGTGTGTGTTTTGGTACCATCCTCTCTGGTCAGGAATATGTTGACCTGACCTAGTGTGCTGTAGTTTTGCCAAGGCTGTGTCTCCTGTTTCACTGCCTTTGTTCATGTTCATGCTGCTAGTAACGAGTAGGCTCCCAGCAGGCCCAATGTTCTCCTTTTTTATATTTGAATGGAGAGGATGTTTATCCATCACGCCAGAAGAATATAATGTATGACGTACAAATGACCCAGTGAGCCAAAAACTGTTGCTTGGCCATTTTGTTTACTTTCCTGTACATTCATTCTCAACATGTCCAGTTGACTGCACATTTCTTCATACTATTTGTGCACAGTCTCCTTCAGCTTGATGAGGTGTGTACTAAGGAACTGGGAGAGGCGTTTATCACAGTGAGCCCTACATACAAGGCTAAACCAGAAATCTGGAGAAGTCACGTGATAGATGAGGCCTTGGCTTGTACAATATAAGGAGATATACCATCTCATAGAGCTGGAAGGGACCTTGAGATCATTGAGTCCAGACCCCTGCCCTCAGAGCAGGACCAAGCACCATCCCTGACAGATTTGCCCCAAATCGCTAAATGGTCCCCTCAAGGATTGAGCTCACAACCCTGGGTTTAACAGACCAATGCTCAAACCACTGAGCTATCCCTACACAGTGCTGTCTAGTGGGGTTATGGGCCATCCTGACTGCTGGCTGTCACCGTCTGGTAAGCATTGCTGGGCAGGAGCAGCTAACTTCTCCCTTCCCTTGGATTAGCCTCAGCCCTTGTGGCCACCTCCTGGGATTGTAATGTCAACAAGATCCTGGAACAGTGTAGCTGCTGCCTTCTGGGTCATCCTCTCAAGGGACACTAACCAATGTATAGGCAGTCCACGGGTTACGTCAGTCCGACTTAAGTCGGACCCCTAGTTACAAACTGGGGGGGGCCCGCTAGTGCGGGGTGCCTTCCCCACTGTTGCCACCTCTGGTGGCGCAGGTGGCCCTTCCCCCCAGCAGACCAGGGAGATGTGGAGCTAGTGCCCCCCCCC